GTTGAGTTTGTAGGTGTTCAGAATGGTTTGATCCCCATCCAGCTGAATTCCTGAGAGGAGACGAAATCCAGGTCTCCTACTCCTCCGCCATCTTGCTCCGCCCCCCTCCTCTTTTTTTTTTTTTAAATCTGATCTGTTGTTGTTTAGTTTTTATATCATTTATTTTGGCTGTAATCTTTACTATTTCCTTCCTTCCAGTGTATTTAGGCTTCAGTTGTACTTTCTCTAGATCCTTTGGTTGTAAGTTTAGGTTGTTTATTTCAGATTTTTCTTGCTTCTTGAGGCCTTATTGTATGTTGTATATTTCTGTCTTAGGACCACCTTTGCTGCAGAGAAATCAGATGAAGGTGATAAAGGATTTATACTCCTGTGTGTGTGTGTGCGTGTGTGTGTGTGTGTAAGATCTTCAGACACCACATCCACACCACACCTGAAGGAGGTTCCACTGCTTACCCATGCTGTCACTAAAATTGTTGCTGTGGAGCATGGTTTAAGACAGTGACCCTCACCAAGACCCTTTCTTAACTTGCTTTGGATTGTCAGTGCCTCTGTAGCCTCATTTCCTGCATGCACTTTAGGCTGCTTCTAGCCAGTTTGCACATTGAGCTGGGTGGTCCTTTGATGCACAGTGAGTGCCTCTGGAATTCCTGTAAAGTTTCAGTTGATGAGCATCAGGATATTTGCATTTCATTGGTATTTAAGGACTAGAATAAACAATGTGAGTGACTCTGTTTTTTGTGCATATTAGTATAATTGTTTTCCCACTAGAAAAATTTTCAAAGTCAGAGAGTAAAGAGGCAAGCACAGAATCATGTGTGGGGAGAGGGTCCCTGAGGGAAACTGCTATGAAGAGGAATCCCCAGACCCTGTCAGGAAACCTGCCCATAGCCTCCATCTGCACCTGCTCCTGGGGCTTAAAGACAGAATTGGGGAGTAGTGTGCACCCCCTAGTGGTCCCGATCCTACTGTACTTTGAGGTTTGTGTTTGGGCTCACACTGACTTCCCCTCACCGTGTCCTTTGCACAGTAATACATGGCCGTGTCCTCGGCTCTCAGGCTATTCATCTGCAGATACAGCGTGTTCTTGCCGTTGTCTCTGGAGATGGTGAATCGGCCCTTCACAGAGTCCGCGTAGCCTGTGTTACTTCCATCACTACTAATAACTGCGACCCACTGCAGCCCCTTCCCTGGAGCCTGGCGGACCCAGCTCATGCAATAGCTACTGAAGGTGAATCAGAGGCTGCACAGGAGAGTCTCAGGGACCCGCCAGGCTTCACCAGGTCTCCTCCAGACTCCACCAGCTGCACCTCACACTGGACACCTGCAGACACAAGACATCCTGGTCAGGAAACTGTCACACAACCACTCTTTCTCTCACTCACATACTCTCGTACACTCAATGTCTCTTGTTCACCATAAATTACCTTTTAAAAGAGCAGCAAGGAAAACCCAGCCAAGTACAAACTCCATGGTGAGCTGTCTGTATTCTGTCCTCATCACTGAATGGAACACCTGGGAATCCCTGGGCTGGGGCTCCTCTCCCAAGTGCAGGGTCAGGGTTGGGCCCTTTAATCAGTAGGGGGAGAACCCTATTTGCATATCTTCTGAGTATATAACAAATTGTCCAGTGCCCTTCAATGGCAGTGCCCTAGAGCAGTTGTGAGGATCCTGGGGGAGTTTGGTGACCATGGTATCTTTCAGCAAACTGCTCTTTTAGTTTGTGATTTTGCTAGGGCAATTCCTTAGCACCCATTATCTTCCTTTTTTTCACATATGCACCTGGAACTTGTGATGTAGGTAACAATTTTACCACCATTTTACAGGTGGAGAAGTACACACTGCAGCACAGAGAGGTTGTATGAATGTCCAAGAGTGCACAGCAGGTCAGAGTGAGCCCCAGTGTCTGGGCCTGTGCTCCTCACCCTGGGACCTGGGTGCTCTCCTGAACCACCTGCAGGACAGAGCTGGACATGAGATTTGCAGGCTTCCTGCCTTTTCAGAACTCCCAATAGACTGATGGGTGGAGACCAGGTCTTTCTGTCACAGAAACTTGGAGACACTGAGAAGCCTTGACAGAGACTCACAGAGCTGATGGAGACGCTGTGGGTTTTCAACAACCCCAAGGGGCATTTACACCTGATCTCTGTGTACACATCAATGGAAAGCCTCAATAGAGACAAGAGTGGAATTATTAGTCAAACAATTAATGTCAGAACACCTGAGATCAGAAAGCATGCTGTTAGTTAAAGACAATTCTTCATTTCTGAAATGGAGATCATTGTACTTCTACACTCATATTTATTGCCATGATGATATCATTTATATTTATACTAGTGCTTTGCCCTTGGCAAGTTTGGTTATTGCCATTTTGATGGTTTATTCCAAAAATGGAGGACTCTTCTGTGTTTCCACAGCTTTTCCAAACTGTTTACTGTGTTCATGTCAGGAGGAAGTTTGCAGAACATGGAGTTGGAAACCCTTGAGAGGAGACCAGCCCTCTACCAACCTCCTGTCCTGGATCATGAGCTCCATGGATCCTGAGTCAGAGGGATTGTGAGCCTTCCCTGATGGTCCCAGTGCACCAGTTGGTGTCACAGTTCCCTCAGATACAGGGACAGCTTTTCTCCCTTCCCCTTTAATACAACATGCAAGGAGAGATCCTGCCAGCATGACCACTACAGACCATCCTGTTGAAAGGATGTCTCCTCCTACTTATTTCCTATACTTGAGCTCCTCACTCTCCTCCTTGGCTACAATATCCAGCCACATTTATTGTATTCAGAGGTGAGGAGGAATCTTGAATCAAGTCCCTACTATCTATCAGGTGCCCTCAAACCTCTGAGGTCTTTCCCTCCAGAGGGTAAAAAGTCATAGATTCTATTGTATGGGAAATGTTCCCTCTCTCGGTAAGGTGAGGTCAACTGCTTGTCCTGGGAGGAGTCGTCCTAGGTATCATGTCTGTGATATGTTTTCAATTATATTTGATGTGAATCACTAATGAAATTGCCATTAGTCTGAGAATTCACTTAGAAGTGGGTATTAGATTTTAGCCATTCTGACAGGTATGGGGTGGGATCTTACCATGGTTTTGATTTGTACTTCCGTGATGATGAGTGATGTTGAGCATCTTTTTATGTATCTGATAACCATCTGGATGTCTTCTTTGGACAAGTGTCTATTCCTGTCTTCTGTCCATTTCTTAACTGCAAGATTTGGTTTTTGGTTGTTGAGTTTGGTAAGTTCTTTATAGATTTTGGATACTAACCCTTTATCAGATATGTCTTTTGCAGATATCTTCTCCCATTCATCACTCATATGTGGAATTTATGAAGGAAAACAGATGAACATATAGGAAATGGGAAAAGAAAAAAAAAAGGAGGAAGGGGAACAACCATAAGTGACTCTTAATAAAAGAGAACAAACCGAAGGTTGATGGAGGGAGGTGAGTAAGGATTGGGCGAGATGGGTGATGGGAATTAAAGAAGGCACTTGTTGTGATCAGCATTAGGTGTTGTATGTAAATGATGAATCACTTTATTCTATTCCAGAAACCAATATTGCACTGTGTGATAAGTAACATAATTTAAATTTAAAAAATAAAAATTAAGAAAAAAGAAGCAGGTACTGGAATACTGGTTGGTGTCAGGTGGTAAAGACCAGGGGCACAACACATGGTAAACATGCATCCTCAAACTTGGGCTTGTTCCCTGCAGAGGAAGGGTAGGTGCAAGGGAAAGGCAGCTGACACTTGTCATGAATTCTATGTGCTGTATTCCCCTAGCGTTGGCTTTCGGCCATTCTCATTGATCCGCAAACTTGGTCTTCTGGGGGAGGGGTCTGTTGCCGTGGTTTCCAAATGTCTGTGCCGGTGGCGGAATTGCCCCGCCCTTGCCGGGTCCAGGCTAAATAATCTGCTCGGGTTTATTCTGGGGAACTTTTGCTCCCTGCAAGCTTTTGGTACAGCTTTGGAGGATGAGAGTGAAAATGGCAGCCTCCCAATCTCCACCCTGGAGGAGCTGAGAACTCGGGGGCCCCACTCCTCAGTGAGCCCCAGAGAAAAGCAGTCAGTCACTCCCATCTCCCCGGTCTCCAGCGGCACTCTGTGCTCACTCTGTCTGTGACTGAGCATTTCTATCTCTGGCTCAGGACCCCCTGTGGAGTCTCCAAACCCAGCAGATCCCTGCGGTGCACTCCCATGCCACTCCTCCCAGAGGAGGAAGGGAAGTCTCCCGGGATCTGCCGCTTGTTGGGTCCCTGCTGGAGGAGCAGTGGCCCGACTGTGCCGCGGATCACGGTTTATGGCAACCCCGAGCTGAGAGCCCGGGCCTCGGCTCTGACTCCGCAGCCGGCCTCCCTGCTCCAATACCTGGGAGCTCTGCCACACTCAGGCACCCCTGGTCTTTCTGCGACCCCGGGGGTCCTGAGACCACACTGTCCCACGAGGATTCCACCCCCTGCTTAGCCACTGGAGCGAAGTCCCTCAGTAGAGCCGACTTCTAAAAGTTCCGATTTTGTGCTCCGCGGCTCTATCACTTGCCAGAAGTGGCCGACGGAGGCCCCTCCCCCGCCATCTATCCTCCCAAATATCGCCTCGGATTCACTTCTCTGCACGTCCTACCTTCCAGAAAGTGGTCGCTTTTCTGTTCAGAGAGTTATTGCTATTCTTTTCTTTGATCTCCTGTTGAGTTTGTAGGTGTTCAGAATGGTTTGATCCCTATCCAGCTGAATTCCTGAGACTAGAAGAAATCCAGGTCTCCTACTCCGCTGCCATCTTGAGTAGCCCTATATCATTTATTTATATTTACTTCTGCTATAATCATTACTATTTCCTTCCTTCTGCTGTATTTAGGCTTCACTTGTACTTTCTCAGTCTCCTTCAGGTGTAAGGTTAGCTGGTTTATTTCAGATTTTTTCTGCTTCTTGAGGTCTTCCCATATGCTGTATATTTCTGTCTTGGGATCACATTTCCTGCAGAGAAATTAGGCAAAAGCGATAAACGTTTTATACTCGCGTGTGTGTGTTTGTGTGTGTGTGAGAAAGAGAGAGAGAGAGAGATCTTCAAATTCCACATCCACAGCACACCTGGCGGGGGTTCTACTGCTTTCCCATGTTGTCACTAATATTGATGCTTTGAGCATGGTTTAAGACATTGACCCCCACCAAGGCTCTTTCTTCTCTTACTTTGGATTGTCGATGCCTCTGTAGCCTCAAGTCCAGCAGGCACTTTATGCTGCTTCTAGCTATTCTGCACATTGAACTAGGCAAACATGTGATGCATACTGAATACCTCTGGGATTCCTGTAAAGGTTCAGCTGATGAGCATCAGAATATTTGTAATTCATTGTAATTTAGGGACAGGAATAAACAGTGTAAGTGACTCTGTATTTTGTGCATTTTAGTATGGTTTTTTTCCATTAGAACAAATTTTCTAAGTCAGAGAGTGAAGAAGTAAGCCCAGAATCATGTGTCCAGAGAGGCTCCCTGGGGGAAACTCCTCTATGGAGAGGAAGCCCCAGACCCTGACAGGAAACCTGCCCATAACCTCCATCTGCACCTGCTCCTGGGGCTTAAAGACAGAATTGGTGAGTAGTGTGCAGTCCCTGGTGACCAGATCCCCTACGACATTGAAATTTGTGTCTGGACTCACACTGACTTCCCCACAATGTGCCCCTTGCACAGTAATACACGGTGATGTCCTCCGCTCTCAGGCTTTTCATCTGCAGATACAGTGTGTTCTTGCCATTGTCTCTGGAGATGGTGAATCGGCCAGAGTCTGTGTAGTATGAGCTACCACCAGTATTGTTAATACCTGCGACCCACTGCAGCCCCTTCCCTGGAGCCTGGCAGACCCAGCTCATGTTGTTACTACTGAAGGTGAATCCAGAGGCTCCACAAGAGAGTCTCAGAGACCCCCTAGGCTTCACCAGGTCTCCCCCAGATTCCACCAGCTGCACCTCACACTGGACACCTGTAGACACAAGACAGCCTGGTCAGAAAACTGTCACACAACCACTCTTTCTCCCACTCATATCCACTCACATACTCAATGTCTCTTGTTCACCATAAATTACCTTTTAAAAGAGCAACAAGGAAAACCCAGCCAAGTAAGAACTCCATGGTGAATTGTCTGTGTTCAGTCCTGATCACTGAATGGGAACACCTGGGGATCCCGGGGATGGGCTCCTCTCCCAGCTGCAGATTCAGCATTGGGCTTTTTTTTTTTTT